TTCAACAATAAGCATATCTATATTTCTTATTTGCTTCAGATTCATTACTAAATTTTAAGTCACAGCGCTCTTACTTTTTATATCAACATTTGTTTTGTGTAGCTGTAATCCATGCACTTAAATAGTATTTTAATCTCGGCTAATGCATTACCATATGCCCGGAATTGTGGTTGGTGGGCACAATACAAACAATTTACGTTACGCTGATGACACAGTCTTGATAGCAACAAGTCAGAAAGAACTACAGGAATTGATAAGACATTGTGGTGTTAGAAAGTGGAAGAATGGGCCTCAGTATGAATAATGGGAAGACAGAAGTAATGGTGACATCAACGAATTATTCCTAAATGTGTAATAAAAGTCGATGGTGTTATTTTAGGACAAGTACAAAAATTTAAGTATCTGGGCACATGAACAACATCAGATGGAAGATGCATAACTGAGATAAGAAACAGAATAGGACAGGCAAAAACTGCATTTTATAAAATGAAGAACATCTTGTGCAATATATCCTTATCATTGAGAGTTAGAAAAAGAATTCTTGCTTGCTATATACATCCAGTTTTAACATATGGCTGTGAATCCTGGACAATTGGTAGGCAGGCCAAACAATTTCTTGAGGCCTCAGAGATGTGGTTTTACAGAAGAATGCTTAGAATACCTTGGACAGCCAAAAAGAGCAACCAAGAGGTTTTGAAAGAGGCGAGAGCCCGAAGACAACTTATCACAGACATCAGAAGGAGACAGTCATCATTTTTCGGCCATGTTATGAGAAGAGGGGAAAAAGAACATGTTGTGACCACTGGAAATATCTGTGGAAGGAGGGATATAGGAAGACAAAGAGAGAAGATTCTTGACAGTCTTGTTGCACGGCATGGAGGTGTGTCGGCACACGAACTGATACATGCTGCAGGAGATCGTGGATTATGGAGAGGCATGATCGCCCACGCCAGTCGACAAGGCACCTGAAGATGATGATGATGAATGCATTACCATGCGTGTTCCGTTGTCTGTTATAAAGGATTGTATAGTCGTATCGTTTCGTTCACGTTTTGTATGCCTTTGAGTCCATATCTGATATCAGAATTCTAACTATGAATAGACTTTGGCGGGGTAATATCGACCAGTCTCTCAGGGGTATACATATATCATAATCGATCAGTGACTTTATAACTTAGTAATGATACCATGCCAATGTCACCGTCCTAGGCAATGTTACGTGTGCTGTCACAGTCCTGGGTAATGTCACCAGTGCTGTCACGATCCTGGGCAATGTTACGTGTTTTGTCACCGTCTTGGGCAGTGTTACGTGTTTTGTCACCGTCCTGGGCAGTGGTACGTGTTGTTACGCTCCTGGGCAATGTTACATGTGCTGTCACCGTCCTGGGCAATGTCACGATCCTGGGCAGTGTTACGTGATTTGTCACCGTCCTGGAAAGTGTTACGTGATTTGTCACCGTCCTGGGAAGTGTTACATGTTTTGTCACCGTCCTGGGAAGTGTTACGTGATTTGTCACCGTCCTGGAAAGTGTTACGTCTTTCGTCACCGTCTTGGGCAGTGTTACGTGTTTCGTCACAGTCCTGGGCAGTGTTACGTGTTTTGTCACCGTCCTGGGCAGTGTTACGTGTTTCGTCACCGTCCTGGGCAGTGTTACGTGTGCTGTAAAATTAGTGACGTAGAGGTGTATTGATTGTAACACTAGCACATAAAACCCGTCACCTGTCTCTGTCTTCCGCTTGATGAATAGGTGTATGATAACTTAGTCCTGTCTATTTCTTGAGGTTGTCATTCCAGGTTCTTCTTTGTACTCCTCTTCTTCGATTACCCCCCCCCCCCCCCCCAATGTTCCTTGAAGTAAAGGTTGGGGTTAGGTAGGTCCAGTTCTATATGTTTTTGGGGTAGTTAAAAGCACCAGAAAGCCGGTAAACCCGCTCTTACCACTCTCGAAAATACTGGAGGGAGGTATTGGGAAAGCACCCAAAGCTGCCACCGTCCTTTGGCAGTTACACGTTTTGTCACAATCCTAGGCAATGAAACAAGTGTTGGCATCACCAAAGTGTTGTGAATATTATCACCATTCTAGACTGAGTTACGTCTACTGTCACCATCCGGGAAAATGCTACGCATGATGTAATCGTTCTGACAACTGTAACGTGTTTTATTCTACCACTGTACTGGCTAGTATTAAAACAATACTGGCTAGTATTAAAACAGCACTTCACTTTCTAAACTACAAATGCAATGGCAGCAGGTTTTGGCTCCGATTCAACAAGGCCCCTTCTCTCAACTTGCATCAAAATGGATTTCGTTTCGACATCACAGGTGGCAGGCGAAAAGAAGGCCGCATGACTCTTTCTAATTAATTAAGTATAGGTTGCATCACAAAAACAACCACTGTAATACAAACTTTAAGATCGAGTCATCGATCCCTACTCTAAGGAACCTAAGGAACCCACGCAGGTTTCCAACTCTCTCTCTCTACATGTGATTAAAGTTATTGTGAGTATTGCACAATAATCGCCCACATAGTGTAATACTTCCCAATATGCGCCTAATCCAGTGAAAACACCACAAAGAAAGTTTATCCAAAGCTAGAAGAATTATGAATACAGCTGAATATAAGACAGCATGTGATTATTACTGCAAAGTTAATCAGCAAACAACTATAGTTGTACGAAGTAAGGGATACAGTCAGAAATGACAGATTATCTAAGAAAAGACTGAACATGTAAACAGGATGCAGTAGACCAGGTGTAAACGATCTTTTCAAACCTAACGGATTATGGCATTCAATTTGCAGCGCTGTTCAACCACACGATAACCCATTTACACTAAGACTTAGCGGATTGTGTATTCAATACATCTTTTTACAACACATTCTGTACGACATCAAAATTGTTCACAGCCATTTTGCAATGTGTAGTACTAACAATGGTGTCGGTACTGATATTTCTCTATGCCAAAGTGCTAAACTAAGACTTACCTTTTGGTGTGTGCACCTTAAACCCCCCCCCCCCCCCCCCCCACAGTATTTTCGTAGCTTTCAATGTGAATGTTTCTGCAACAGCAGCATCTTTCACTTAGAATGGATACAAGATCATTTTTAGGACTGTAGGGAAGGGCATACGCGCGCACGCACACATAGACAGACAAACACACACTTGAACCTTTCTGTCAAATAGTAGAACATTTGGAAATCAGACTTTTGGTCCAGACTTTGAGACGAGTAGAGCCTATGGCAGCGGACATTTGAACCTTGTCTGTCGCACATTATGATATTTAACGGTCGGACTCCTGAACTTGGTCACAAGGTAAGACATTTGATGGTCGGACATCTGAACTTTATCACAAGGTAAGACATCTGATGGTCGGACATCTGAACTGTGTCACAAGGTAAAACATTTAATGCCGTAGGATCAAACCGGGACATATCACCCACAAAATATGTTGACCAAGCTGCCAGCAAGGGGCTGAATCTCAACAGTTCGCAGTAAGGTTGATAGATGATCAGCTGATTACGACACCGCCACACCCGAGATATTAGAGCCTAATCAACAAGTGTGTAGGTCTTTCGATAGACATGCTTTTAAACTAAGGTTTGTCACAAGGAAACATATTCGGTCAAAGGGTTTCACTCATGTTCCAAATACGTTTTTGATGGCCGTTATAACTTATGCATTGGGAGTGGGCTGATGAGAGCCAGCGGATTTCCAGACACTGCATCTCAAGGGCCACCAACTGCAAGACTCCCTGCCAGCTTGATTTAGGCTAATATGAGCTATTATGCATAGCGCACGACGAGGACGTGTGAAAGGAGTATTGCATGAGGATGCCTAAAACCAAAACAGAGCCTGTAGGCCCCCGATGTGAGGTTCGAAGTATCTCCTTATATATAGAGAACAATAGCCTTAACTCACCCTCACGCCTGTGACTGAAATCACGGCGCTACTACGTCAATTGATGCAGGGGAATTGCCTTTTTTAAACCACACCAGATGACTCATCATACTGCATGCATCAATAGACAGAAAAAGGAAATCATCTTCCAGCTAAATCCTGGCTGACCTTAAGAAACAACGATTCTTCTCAAAATCTCATAGTCACTAATACATAAAGACCACCAAGCGGCCTATAAAAGACGGGCCAGCCCCATTACTTGGTTCACGGGGAAAAGACTGCTTTGCCCACTCCCCATCCCCCCTTTTTTTTTCTAACAAACCTCTTTCCCTCCCTTTTATTTTTTTAACCACGTCTGCTGCCTTAAGGTCTAATGTCACAGCTACCCAACTGTTAGATGCCAATCCAACAGAAACTTTATAAAATGGCCACAAATAAGGTGTCCGTTGCTGAAGGGTTACAAAATCAGGTTGTAGTTCTGAAATACCAGTTTCGATTCAGTCGCTGGCAATTTTCAGCAGAAAGCTTTTCGTTATTTTCGCCAACTGTATGGATATACATCAAGAAAGCAATGACAAACAACGGAACGTCAAACTGATTAGCAAAACCACAAACAGCCAGTAACTGCTGATATAGATATGCCACGTCCTATAAGGCAGGAATATTCATTTGGCGGCCCCCGCGATGGCCTAGCAAGTGGCCTGTGGATCACTGCCAGCTGTTTCATATAATTGGTCTTTCTATGCTGTGACTTGGGCTTCTGGCCGGTGACGATCCCCACTGTCAACATTGCAGCCCCAGAGTTGAACAGCCCTGCTGTGAAGAATGTGCAGCTAACTTATTACAACCGATGACCCTACCTCTTAAACCAAATGACACAGGTGTTAACTGTAACGCACCCTGATGCCCAGTGCAAGTGAGGGTTTACATGCTAGGGATTAACCTTAATAGCCATGGAGATTACACACTAAACCAGTGTTTCCTAAACTTTCCTTAGTTGCCGCCACCTTCTTCAATCCAGTAAAGAGGTCGTGGCTCCCGTGGCGCAGTTTGGGAATCACTGCACTAAACGATCAGAAAGACAAGTTTGAAAGTGTACTCACTTCTCATGTCGGTCTCATCGACGATTTCGCTCTGCAGGATCTCTTCAATGACGTCCTCCAGCGTGATGACTCCCAGTGTCTCGAAGTAAGGGTCTTGGTCGTCTGTGTTGTGTAGCTTCTGTACGATCGCCATGTGAGAGTTGCCTGGAAGGAATGCACAGTAATCACATTAAAATAATGTATGTGTGAGAGAAAACAAAAAAACTAGGTACTTTCTTATTAGTCGACCACGAACAGGGGAAATCCACATTCACGGGACAGGCAAATATTTCAGGGGGTGGTAGATTAAGCTTTTGGTTAGGGTTAGAAAAACGCACGAAACCCTTGGCCTTGAAAGAAACGCGCTAAAGCACAGAAACCACGGAAAACCCGCTTTTACCACCCTCTAAAATACTGGATTGTTCCGTGAAGTCATTTGTGGGCGACTAAAAAGAAAGCACCAAGGACTATTTTCAAAGGGTCATAAAATGGACTCACATAACCATTCCTACATTCGGCCATTCTGTATACTCATCTTACAGACCGCAATTGTATTTTAACAATAATGCATGTTGTGCTCAGATAACAGTATACATATATATATATATATATATATATATATATATATATATATATATATATATATATATATATATATATAATATAATATAAATATCAAGTTTTAAAAAAATGCACACACAAAAGAATCGATAGTAAATTCTTGCACGGACACATATCACATAAGAATGCGTTCACATCCATACACTTACTCACACGTGCATACTGAAAGAAAGAGAGATACAGACAGACAGAGACAGACGACACCCGGATCGGAAGTACGGGCTCTGGCATCTCTTGTCGACTAGCTTTTGTGCGATTGCAATGTGGATGTTGCATGCTGTATAATGCAGACATCATATAAACAACATCAGAGAGAGAGAGAGAGAGAGAGAGAGAGAGAGAGAGAGAGAGAGAGAGAGAGAGAGAGAGAAAGAGTGAGAGAGAGAGAGAGAGAGAGAGACAGACAGACAGAGATAACACCCAGATCTTCGAAGTACGGGCCATGCCATCCATTGTCGACTATATTTTGTACGCTTGCCGTGTGGATATTGAATGATGTATTATGCAGACATCATATAAACAACGAGAAAGAAAAAGAAAGGGGAAGGGAGAGAGAAAGAGAGGGAGAGAGAAAGAGAGGGAGAGAGAGAGGGAGAGAGAGAGAGAGAGAGAGAGAGAGAGAGAGAGAGAGAGAGAGAGAGAGAGAGAGGGAGATTCGACACAAATGAACCTCATTTCAAGAAAACTAGAGAGAAAGACAGAGATATATTCACCGGTGTCCATTTTAAAGTGGGTCGACTTAGGAGTATAAAAATCCACTTCGTCCACACCTCACCCTATTTTCATCACATCATGCAGTTTCAAAATCATGACCGCCGGGTCGACAAGCAAGCGCATTAGCCACTACACCACCATCGGCTGACGCCCTAAATAAACTGGTGTCTTCTGTTTCTCATCTCAGAAAGGTATGATATAAAGGCAGACTGGGCGACGCTAAAGTTTAAGGTCGAAAAGACTGACTTCATTACACGCACTTCATTACACGGGGCTTTTATTTCAGAACGGCTAGCTGCCTGCCGAAAGTGCCACACAAAGAGCGAACTCCGTAGCTCCGGCAACGATCCCCGTGGATTCCCGCTGAAAACCGCATGCTCCGTGAACTAAACGAAGGACGTAGCCGTGAAACGAAACGACGACATTCAAGGCACGTGGCAAACGACCTGATCATTTCAACACTGAGACTGAGCACGCGCTAGGCAACGGCACTTCCCTGTGGTATCCATCTACATCTGATTTTCGATAAAGTGAAAATTACAGTTTTCCGATCTAATCAATAAGTACATTTTCATAATCGATCTCCGTCTGTGCAACTGCTCCACAATAAGAAGTCTGCGCTTTGCATACAGCGCTCGTGAGCACCCATGTGACAGACACGGGAAGTGTAATGATCGGCGACTGTTTAATTATACACAGATACTGATGGACAAGATTAGTATATAAAGCTGTGATGGGAGATCAACAGAAACGAAATTCTTCGAAAAATGATAACAGGAAAGACAGACAGAGAGACAGACAGACAGAGAGACAGACAGACAGAGAGACAGAGAGACAGACAGACAGATAGACAGACAGACAGACAGACAGACAGACAGACAGACAGACAGACAGACAGACAGACAGACAGACAGACAGACAGACAGACAGATAGATAGATAGATAGATAGATAGATAGATAGATAGATAGATAGATAGATAGATAGATAGATAGATAGATAGATAGATAGATAGATAGATAGATAGATAGATAGATAGATAGATAGATAGATAGATAGATAGATAGATAGATAGATAGATAGATAGACGTTGTTATCGACCCAGCGGCGTTTGAGCTTTCACTCTCTGGCCCAATGCCATGTAGTGGAACTTGCATGTTTTCACAAGCTGTTCCTTTACTCTGTACAAGGTGTTCCTCTTGTCTGGTCTCGGAGGGAGTAGCATTCTTCTAGTCTCGCCAAGTTTTGGGCACTCAAAGAGATGATGTTCAACAGTTTCGTAGGTGTAGTTACATAGCTGGCTTCGAAGTCAGAGTGCATTTGCCTGAGAGGCAAGGAACCAGAAGTCTTCATACAAATCTGTCCGAACCTTAAGTCTTCATACAAATGAGTCGCATGTGTAAAACGGATGCACATGCAACAGTCAGGCCCTTCCATTTAGTCCACTGAAAATTGTTACACTGCTTGATCACACGGATTATTATTTTTGAGTTGTTTTTAAATTTCTGATATAATTAAGCTTGAAATTAATATATTTGTTTTCCTACTTGTTGCGTAGACTGGATCTTCGCTGCTAATGTGTCGTCCTTAGATATGAATGAACTGCTGGGTCACAATCATGGCGCCGCTCACAGAATTAGAAAGAATTAGATTATCAACTACCTTTAAACTGCACAACAAATCGCAAGTGTTGCGCGAATATTTCAAGTTCCCAATAAAAAGGCCATCGACTGCAGCCACGTTAAAAACAAGAACAAACACACTGTCTCCTAACAAGAAGTCTCATTAGGAGTTTGCTCAACTCCGATGTGTTGAGTCGAAAGGCACTGATTTCGCAGCATAACTGGAAACCACAACACAATATTCAAATTGCCTTTTTAAGGGCGAACACAGATTAGAACTGACAAAGACAGCAAGCAATACCAATGTCTCTGATCCCTAACGTAAAGAAAGTCAACCACTTGATGCAATGCTCAATCACTATCTTGTCAAAAAATACTGAGTTTATTAACTATTCAACTTGAGTTTACAGATCATTACGATGTTGCCCCCCAGGAAAGCTGGAAGTGACCAGGAAAATTGGTCGACACTCAGAGGAAAGAAAAGACGGACAAATAAACTCCCACTGGTACCATCGCAAGAGAAGCTCGTTGCTGACTGCTGCAGATAAGGATTGAGATCGCCTGGAAATGTTCCGATACTGTGATGTCGGTTCTTGACTCCATTTCACTTTTTAAGTTATTTTTAAATTATTATTCGATCAGTTTATTGACGAGATTGTTGAGTCTTTTGTTGTGGCACTGTATATAATACCGAGGGAGCGACTACTACAACGGGAAAACAGCTGCTGCGTGGGGAGCTACGTGGTCTCGATGCATGGCGTTAGCCTCGAGTGCTGGAGGTCCCGGGTTCAAGCCCCGGTGAAGGCTGGGATTTTTTCACGTGGACTTCTAGCAGTCTTCCCTGGTCTTTCATAAGTAAGATCAGACGACCGTGTGTATTGTTGCGCATGTAACAAATTCCGTGGCCGTTGGAAATCGAAAAAGAGTAGCCTAACGGCGCTGCTCGGGCAAAATTTTGAGTTAAAAATCTACCGAAAGTATTTCAGGATCCTGGCAGGTGCTACAGAGCTTGTGTACTGTGCTAAGCTTTTTCGGACTCAGATGTGAGTTAGAAGAAGAACGGAGCACTAATGGGTTACTGCTCGTGTGCCATGATGTCGATCTGCTGTTCAAAACCTCAAACCGCTTTCTTCAAAAGACGTCCTAGTACTTATTTTACCGGAACGCCTTATTGTGTCATGTGGCTAAATGTTCATTTATCCAATCAATAATGTCGCTGGCATTATTAATTTATATTTTTTCACCTATAGCTTTATTACTTCATAACTCAATCACATGAACGAAATCCGCCAGTCTAGCTAACGATATTGTATTTTTAAGGAAAAAACCTTCAGGCGTACTAGGCATAAAGGACTAGAGCTATATTTTACAGACCAATCAGCATTTGGTGAGTGATATTGTCGGTATCACCCCAGCCGCCTATACGTCCCAGGGCCGCACCCGGTACCCAATCAAGGCTAGTTCGATCTAACAGCCAATGTCATTTTTGAAGAAAGCCCGGTTCCGTCAGGATCCGAAGCCACGACAATTTTAATTAACTAGAGCTTATATTAGGGGTAAGGTTTCTATTACCAGTTGTCTGGAAAATTATGCAAGGATTTCTTATCGTAGAAGTCGGTAGTAGCCACTAGCAACAGTAGCATAAACCGTTGTCGCAAGCACCGAGTATGTTCACTGATGTTCCAGTTATTTATTCCTGATCCTTTAGCTGCCGGTTAAGCCTCAAATCAGGGGTGGACTGATGGATCTAGTATTCACATATGAAAGGGAACAGATTCCGCAATCACAATAGTATTTCTCATATCAGCGAACGTAGATTCATATGTTTATATGCCCTGTCCGTTTCCCGTAGATGTAGCTAATTTTCTTATAAGAATAAATCATACCTTCTTTTCATCTGTGCTATTCCAGTTTCTTTTGTCCAATATTGTCCCCAATAGTGAAGTTAATTGCTCTACCCACACTTTCTCTCCATGCGTCACATCCCAATTTCACTTGCCCAATACCCTTCCCAGATGTGAAGTTAATGTTTCTATTTACATCTTCTCTACATATGTCCTATTCCAGTTTCTCTAGCCCAATATTTCCCTCAAATGTGAAGTTATTGTCTGTACCCACATCTTCTCTCCATGCGTCACATCCCAGTATCTCTTGTCCAATATTTTCATCAAATGTGAAGTTAATTTCTCTCTTTATATATCTTCTTTTC